TGCAGACTACACACAGAGACAGAGCTACACAAAGTAACAGCAGCTGTTTTTGAATTTGTGTACTCCACAGAACAATGATCCCCACTCTTTCTACAGCAAGTTTGAATAAGCTAACATTCTTCACACACTATGCTAATATGTATGCTGAAGCAAGACCACAAAGGAAACAAGAGGCGCACAGCATAATCCAGCTTCAGTAAAAACATTTTTGGGATGGGCAGAAAACAGTGTTTGCCAAATTCAAAAGGACAACAAGAAATAATATTTTGCACGTATCTAGCTATTTCTATCTATGAGGCAGCTTATAAATATTAATTAATCCTTTTAACATCGAAAAGCAAGGTTAGCAACATCTCTTTCTGTCTTCATGTTTGCAAAGCAAGATTAAGATTACCTAAAGAGAGGAGTCAAATCTGAATGCTAGTTATACAAATGTAACACAGTAACATATAAGTAACGTAACATAGATAGAAGTATAAGATAGGGCAGGGATCGGCAACCTTTGGCGCACAGCCCATCAGTGAAATCCGCTGGCCGGCCAGGATGGTTTGTTTACCTGCAGTGTCCGCAGGTTCGGCCGATCGTAGCTCCCACTGGCCGCGGTTCGCTGTTCCAGCCAACAAAGGCCGCGGGAAGTGGATTGCCAATCCCTTAAAACCATAACAAGCTATTCTATCCCAAAACATGGAAAGAGGCACAAATCTCCTGCTATCTGTATTGGAGTTATTTCTATTATTAGTTATTTCTAACTAATTTTCATTCCTTTAAGGCTCTGTCACAGCATCCAAACCTTTTCTACCTATTTCAGCTCCATCTTGTGGTTTGAACTTACCCAAGGGAGTGACTTTTATTTCAGGCATTTTAAGCAGAGAAGAACTCTTTGAACCTTAGCTGTACAGCAGGCTATTTCAGAGATACCATAACTGGGTACTAAAAACAAGAGAAGATCCAGCCTTTCTTCAAACCACTGATCTGTTTATTTACTAATATCACAGAGAAGAGTTCAGCTGAGGCCCCATGGCTTCCTAGACGGAGACAAGGATACAGACAAGAAAAGAGTCAGCTAACTCGGCACATTATTAGTGTCATCTAAAAATGCATGCCTGTTTCCAATATAGTCAAGGCTAACGTTCCCCAAAAACATAAACTGGTTTCCTTAACCCTAACATTATTACAGTGTTTTATAGTTACTCAGTCCAAGATTGATTGGGCCATAGAGGCTGAATCCTTCTCTCTGTCGTTAGAGAGATTCAGCCCAGGTGAGAGGGGATGCACATTGGCATGGCTGTATGTGGGAAGCCTGACTGCTGCTGATCCTGAAGTACCTGATCTGCGGACAGAGTGAGGTCTTCAGCCTCCTGGACTCTTGAGCAAGGACTAAGTTCATTAATTTATTAATGAACTGCAGACAAACTCCCTATTACAGCCTTGATTTTGAAGTGGGAGTTAGTTTTAAAAAATTAGGACTCTCATCCTCTGCATCCCTTTCCCAATGCAAACTGCTATTAAATCAAAGATGAGAATGAACTTAGTTCAATTAACTTCTAAGTTGGGAAATAACAAAACCCCTTAAATTGTGTGAATACAATTAGCACATTCTTTAGCTCTGCTTCTGGGATTCCAGAGCAGTATGTATTTTATAGGTTTCAGAGTAACAGCCGTGTTAGTCTGTATTCGCAAAAAGAAAAGGAGTACTTGTGGCACCTTAGAGACTAACCAATTTATTTGAGCATAAGCTTTCATGAGCTACAGCTCACTTCATCGGATGCATACTGTGGAAAGTGTAGAAGATCTTTTTATATACACACAAAGCATGAAAAAATACCTCCTCTCACCCCACTCTCCTGCTGGTAATAGCTTATCTAAAGTGATCACTCTCCTTACAATGTGTATGATAATCAAATTGAGCCATTTCCAGCGGCACTGCTATGGGTACCCGCATGGCCCACAGTATGCCAACATTTTTATGGCTGGCTTAGAACAACGCTTCCTCAGCTCTCGTCCCCTAACGCCCCTACTCTACTTGTGCTATATTAATGACATCTTCATCATCTGGACCCATGGAAAAGAAGCCCTTGAGGAATTCCACCATGATTTCAACAATTTCCATCCCACCATCAACCTCAGCCTGGTCCAGTCCACACAAGAGATCCACTTCCTGGACACTATAGTGCTAATAAGCGATGGTCACATAAACACCACCCTATACCGGACACCTACTGACCGCTATTCCTACCTGCATGCCTCCAGCTTTCACCCTGACCACACCACACAATACATTATCTACAGCCAAGCTCTGCGATACAACCACATTTGCTCCAACCCCTCAGACAGAGACAAACACCTACAAGATCTCTATCAAGCATTCTTACAACTACAATACCCACCTGCGGAAGTGAAGAAACAGATTGATAGAGCCAGAAGAGTTCCCAGAAGTCACCTACTACAGCACAGGCCTAACAAAGAAAATAACAGAACGCCACTAGCTGTCACCTTCAGCCCCCAACTAAAACCCCTCCAACGCATTATTAAGGATCTACAACCTATCCTAAAGGATGACCCAACACTCTCACAAATCTTGGGAGACAGGCCAGTCCTTGCCTACAGACAGCCCCCCAACCTGAAGCAAGTACTCACCAGCAACCACAGACCACACAACAGAACCACTAACCCAGGAACCTATCCTTGCAACAAAGCCCGTTGCCAACTGTGCCCACATATCTATTCAGGGGACACCATCACAGGGCCTAATAACATCAGCCACACTATCAGAGGCTCGTTCACCTGCACATCCACCAGTGCGATATATGCCATCATGTGCCAGCAATGCCCCTCTGCCATGTACATTGGTCAAACTGGACAGTCTCTACGTAAAAGAATAAATGGACACAAATCAAATGTCAAGAATTACAACATTCATAAACCAGTCGGAGAATACTTCAATCTCTCTGGTCATGCAATTACAGACATGAAAGTTGCTATATTACAACAAAAAAACTTCAAATCCAGACTCCAGCGAGAAACTGTTGAATTGGAATTCATTTGCAAATTGGATACAATTAACTTAGGCTTGAATAGAGACTGGGAGTGGCTAAGTCATTATGCAAGATAACCTATTTCCCCTTGTTTTTTCCTACCCCCCCCCCCGCCCCCAGACGTTCTTGTTAAACCCTGGATTTGTGCTGGAAATGGCCCACCTTGATTATCATACACATTGTAAGGAGAGGGGTCACTTTAGATAAGTTATTACCAGCAGGAGAATGGGGTGGGAGGAGGTATTTTTTCATGCTTTGTGTGTATATAAAAAGATCTTCTACACTTTCCACAGTATGCATCCGATGAAGTGAGCTGTAGCTCACGAAAGCTTATGCTCAAATAAATTGGTTAGTCTCTAAGGTGCCACAAGTACTCCTTTTCTTTTTATGTATTTTATAAATCACCACGGGAAGTTGTCAGGTTGTGTTATCACTATCAATGTTCCCTCAAATTTTTGACAGGCCGTGTGCAGAAAAAATTTCTTCAGTGCAAATTTTTGTGCACGCGGTGTTTCGCCGTGTGCGCAGGGTTTAGGATCCTAGGGTTTAGGAAAAAAACAAAAAGTTTTTTGTTTTGATGATAATTTTCCCATCAGCAGTAGTGATCACTGTTCCCTCTAAGCTGTGCGTGTGTGCACACGCACACAGATCCTAAACCCCGCGCACAGCTTAGAGGGAACAGTGATCACTACCGCCGATAGGAAAATTATCATCAAAACAAACAAAAAAATGTTGTTTAAGTCAAAATCAAAATATTTAGAAAAAGTTGTTTTTTAAGCGTCAAAAACAACCACCAAATGAAGTGTTTTCACAAAGTTGAAATATCCTGAAACAACATAAAAACATCCCTTTTTTCAGAAATATAAAGTCCTGATTTTTTTTTTGTTTGTTTCAAAAGAACTTTTAGGAACAAAATATTATTTATATAAAAACCGTTTTAAAAAGGTTTAGAAGGTTAGGATCCGAAAAAGTGATCAAAACAAAACGTCCCAGTTGACCCCCAGCACGGCGCCCCCCCCCACCAACTCTCCCCCCCCCCTCAGCACGGCAGCCCCCCCCAGCACAGCAGCCCCTCCTCAACACTGCAACCTCCCCCTCACTGGCCCCCCAGCACGGCGCCCCCCCCCACCAACTCTCCCCCCCCCTCAGCACGGCAGCCCCCCCCCAGCACAGCAGCCCCTGCTCAACACTGCAACCTCCCCCTCACTGGCCCCCCAGCACGGCGGCTCCCCCCCTCACTGCCCCCCAGCCGCCCCCCCCCTCACCCCCCCCACCAACTCTCCCCCCCCTCAGCACGGCAGCCCCCCCCAGCACAGCAGCCCCCCCCTCACTGGCCCCCCAGCACGGCGGCTCCCCCCCCTCACTGGCCCCCCAGCACAGCAGCCCCTGCTCAACACTGCAACCTCCCGCCCACTGACCCCGCAGCAGGGCCCCCCCCCGCGCTCACTCCCAGCCCGCGGCTCCCAAACGGACTCACATCGCTCTTGCTTCTAGCAGGCCCACTTTCCCGCGGACATCTGCGCATGCGCGGCAACCCTAAACTAAGACCCGCCCTCTGCCTTGGAGGGGCGGTCCCTGCCCTATCACGTGACGCAGGCATGGCCTCTCACCACGTCCCCAGCGAGCGCCAGCCAATGGCCAGCGGCTATCAGCCTCCGCAACCCCCCCCCCCAATAAGCCGACTTGCGATGGGCCAGGGACATGCGCTGCCCGGAGAGGAAGACGGTGAATGGCTGGAGCGGGAGCCTCGGGCGTCGATTGGCTGCGGCGGGAAGGGGCGGGGCAGCAGTCGGGAAGGCGGAAGCAACTGGCTGAGGGGAGTCTCTGGCGGTTCAACATGGCGGAGGGGGCGGAGACGTTCTCCCTGAGGGAAGTGCTGGTGGCGTTCACAGCCTGCGTCAGCGAGCAGCGGGAAGTCCGCGTGGACCCGTACCTGGCGGGCTGGAAAGGCCTGGTCCGGTAAGGCTGGGGCGGCGGGGGGCTCCCGGGCTGCGACTGGCCTCAGCCGGCCCGAGACCCGCCCCCGGGCCGGGGGGGGTCAGCGGCCGCCCGCGAGGCCCCGCCCCGGTTTTTAATTGACGGGGGTGCTCGGCCGCCGAGTTGGCCGGCAGCGGCTGGGGGCGGGTGGGGGGCGCCATCTTGCAGCCCGCACTGCCCCGCCCGTCGCGGTCACGCCCCGCCCGGACGCGCGGCCGGAGCCCTGGGCGTGGCCGCCCTGCCCTACCGGGCCCCTGGGCGCGGCCGCCCTGCCCTACCGGGCCCGGCCTGTTGATTCTCCCCCCCCCCGTGGCGGGCCTGGAGCCTCCGCCACAGCGCTGCGCGGGCCGGTGGGGGGGGGCGGAGCAAAGCTTCCAAGCGCTTCAGCGTCACAGCGCGGGGCCAGCCGGAGCCCGAGCCCCGGGGAGGCTGCAGGAGGCCCCTGAGAAAGAAGCGGGACGTGAACCGGGCCGCGGGCCGAGGACAAAGGGCTGAGCACTGAGGAAGGGTGATGGGGCACCGTAAAGGCGGGGTCAGGTAACTAGCGGCGGGCGCCCAGGCCCCTGGGGCGGGGCAGGGGTGCCCTCGCGCGCCATCCGCCTTGAAGAAGAGTCCAGGGTAACGCCGAAGCTTGTGTCCGTCCCCAACACCCGTTGGTCCAAGGAATGAGAGTCCCTCAGCCGCCTTGGGTCTCTGCTGTCACCCTCCTACACGCTTTACAGGAGTTTAAGGCCAAGCACCTGCCTCAGCCCCACCCCTTGTGCTCTACCTACAGGTGAAGCATAATTAGACGTGACCAAATTCAATTTTGAATTTTAAATCATAGATAAATATGCTTCAAACTAATAAAGTTTATCCATTTAAATTTTTTCAGTTGCACAAAATTATGGGGGGGAGAGATCAGACAGTTCAATGATTATAGACATTGAGATTCAAAAAGCTGAAACTTTATAACTTAAATTGTCAACATCGTATGTCAAAACACACAACGGCACTAACGTTACCTCAAACTAAGTTCTTAAGTGACTTTTTTTTTTTTTTTGCTTTGCCTATATGTAAACTTTGACGGTCGCTGAAAATATTTTTCATCAGTTTGTGTGTGTACAGTGAAATCAATGTTTATCAATAAACGTTTACCAATAAAAACCTAATCCTTCCAAGCTTAACACTGAAACGCTGCCTCTTGATCGTCCCTGAAAAGGTAGCTGACTCGTCCTAGGCACAAAGTGGCTGTTAGTAGATTACATTCTATATAGTTAACTAGTTTTGCTTTATATTACCAACACTTGACTCCGCTACTGTCTTGTTTGTAAGCCTGTTCCAATTATTTACAACATTACCTGTAATAAAAATGACTACCACCTTATTCTTCCATGTATTCCATCTTAGATTTAAGTTCAATCTATGTTCACCAGTTTTGGTCTGTCCAATAATTTCCGATATAAATTAAGACTGATCTAACTCTTAACCACTTAAGTAAGGTCACCATTTCAGCATCATTTCTCGAGCTCCCTTACTCTGTTACATAACACAATTGATTTTTGTTTTGAATGTAGGTTTCTGAACTGCCTGGGCACAATTTTCTCCTTCATTTCTAAAGATGCAGTGACCAAAATAGAAATAATAGAGAATTACCGTAATAGTGACCAGCGAGAAAAGTACTTGACCGTTCAATCCATGGTGGAGTATGAGTTGGCTAATGGCCTGGTTGATCTCCAAAAGCGATCTGACTCAGGCTGCAGAACCTTGTTGCGCCTCCACCGAGCCCTTCACTGGCTGCAGATGTTCTTGGAAGGACTGAGGACTGGCAAGGACAACTCCAAAACCTCTGTGATCTGCTCAGAAACATACAATGCTTCCTTGGCTAACTATCATCCCTGGATTATTCGCAAGGCTGCTGGGGTGGCTTTTTGTGCCTTACCCACTCGAAATACATTCCTTGAAACCATGAATGTGGGCACAGCTGAAGAGGCTGTGGCTATGCTGGGGGATGCTTTGCCCTATATCTGTGAAGTCTATAAAATCACAGAGGAGCTCTATGCCCAACACAAACTGCTTGACCTCCCCTAGTGTAGGGGATGTTTGATTAGAATATCTCGCTATTGTAATTGCTGAAAGAGTTCACTGTATTGGGGGGGGGGGCACTCATGTAAATAAGTGGTTATTTGCACTAAAGACTGGATTCTCTTCCTCCCTCTCCCCCTACCCTGCCATCTCCAATAGGTCTCTAGTAGAGCCCATAAATAATTTGATTGATACTCTTTGGCCTTTTAAAAGAGAGCTGACTTAATTCTTGGCTCCCCTTTTATTAGAAGAAATTTGGAATAAAAACATTCCAAAGCCCATGTTAGCTTGTTTAAACTTAAAGGATTTATCTCTCTCCTCTGCACTGAATTCCTTTTTCAAAACTTTATCAGGTCTTTATTTGTAAAAGCCAAACAAAGCCCCCAGCCACAAGCGATCACTTAATCTTTGTAGCTCCAATGCCTTTAAACAAAAGTAGTGAGGAATCTCCCTTTGTCCCACTCATGGGATAATGCTAAAATTCAGCTAAACTAGGGTCGGAACCTCTCGCTGTGGTATTATAGGGCCTGTGTACAGATGACACTCATTGCCATTCAACCACTTGTTCTCTGTTTAGGTTAACAAGGTGATGTGTGTTACAGGGCCTGGAATTTTGGTTTTGCTGCACTGCAATGCAGGACCCTTGAAATTATGCTGCTTTCTTACAACAGAGTGAGCAATTGATTGCAGACCATCTTCATGGCAGCTGGTCATCACTTGCACTGGATAACACTTCCTGCCCAGTCTTCTCCCACTCATCCTCACAAAAACTAAATGGTGTGGAGGTGTGGTATAAGGATATGTTCCCCCTCCCCCATTTTTGTGTGGTGCTGTTGAGACAGGAAGACCCTTTGTTATTTTCTCCCTCTTCCCCTGCCCTCCCCCAAGTTTTGCTGCTTGGCATCGTGCCTTTTGGGGGTGGGAAATAATCTTGAGTGCAGACTGCACAGTACTGAATCACAGAATAATTCAGAGCTTTATGGAAGTTGAGGCTACAGGTACAGAAACTACCCACAGAGTAGACTTTAGGAAATAAAAGGAATGCTGAAAGCCTAGAGAAATGAAGTCCTGCTGGCTGGGTGGGGTAATTATGATTTGTGCTATACATAAAATCAGTGTTTGCTGAAGCTTAATGCCTTCCAGTCCAAATCAATCATAAGCTTTAAAAGGAGGGTAAATCTTCATGCAAGTGGTAAGTGTAAAATTGTTTTAGCAAGAATTCCTATATATGTTGTATATATAATAGGTGTATACATAGGAAGAGGGATGCAAGCTGGTTATAAAATAATGAATTGTACTTTGAGATATTTTCAAAATTTATCTTTCACAACAGTGCATGGATATTTCAGAAAGAGCCCTAATATTACTGCTGTAAAACTATTTTAAGACAACGTTCACACCTCTCACACTGTGCCCCTTTACATTTTATTAACATTAATAAAGTGATCTAGATAATTGGAGGCATTTAAATGGCCAATAAGGCCACAGTGCTGAAATTGATTATTACCTCATGGGTTTGGACCTAGCTAGCCACACTACTCTCCCTTAAATTACGTTAATAACTTGCCTCCAAAGAGTGGCGTTGTACAGGAATGCCTGCCTCTCTCAGGTCTTTGAAGGCATGTGATCTTGGGTCTCGTACATTCAGGGCATATTGAACCCAATAATGAGTGGTTGCTTAATTAGTCATTTGGCTAGTGATCAGAAATGAGACCAAATAAATTTAACAGCAGATTCTAAACTCTCAGCTGCAGCATGCATCTCTAGATCCTGCAGATCAGAATCTGTGCATAGAGTATTTCTTAGCTTGAGGATCAGGAAAGGAGGGTTTTCCCCCATCTGATCCAAGGATAGATGTTTACCCACAGTGATTAAAAGGTATTTATGCCTCTAGTTTAGCTCTGTGAAATGTGCCATTTTCCTTCCATGTTAAGATATTAATTTAGAAAAGCCCCTTTTAAATTTACTGTAACTTTAAAAATGCTGTTTACACACAATGCCATGGGGTAGCTCCCCCACATATTAAGACAGTTCAGGTAACTCAGTGTTCCAATGTCTAATAAATACTTGCTGGTTTTTGTTTTATTTTAGCTAAATGAGTTTTCTTTCTGGTCAGATGTTCTTGATATTTCATCTAAAATGTCATGTTGCATATTTTGCGTATGATCAATTTCATAAAATATTTTAAAGTATCTCGCACTACATATGGTGTGAAAAAGCTGCATGTATCGTAAGTAACATTTGCGTAATGCCTTTGTTCCAAGGGTTTAATATAAAGAGGGAAACGTGAAAACTGTTTATCTGTTCTCCACCAGTATGTCCAAGCTAAATACTATTCTTATATGATCAAAGCTGTAATACTTGATTTGCAATTTCCAACAAGTGGTTTTTCAATTAAAAAGTCACTTATCAGTGGAAAACCTGAGTTTGCTTTGTTTCTACTAATCTGTTGGTCCTGTTTTTTTTTTTTCAAATGGGGGTTATATATATGATGGCTAGATTCCACAGGGTGGTACATACACTCAAAATCTACACCTTTCTACCAGCACCCTGCAATCCGTGTGGCATCTTTAGCAAATTCCTATGCATATGCATTGTTTAGTGATGCTTCTCCAAATTCTGAGGTTCCTCTTCTCTCCCTGCTCTGGCCAAGTTCAAAATCCTAGCCTCTATCCCTTACTGCTCATTAAGACCGGGGTCCTACAAACTGCTCTGGGGGGTTGTAAGCTGCTTTGCACGGAAGGCCTCTGCATGGTATAAGGGCCCAGCCATGCAGAGCAGCTGGCAGGATTGGTGCCCAAATTACATTTGGGTTTAGAGAGTCCGTTTTAAGCAGAAAGTGTCGGACATGTAGGCCTACAGCTGCAGGGACTGAAAGTAGGTTTTGAAGAAGGGTCCCCAATGAACTTATCTGTGCACCAGAGGGCGCTCGTTCATTGAGTGACGAACAGGTACAATCTCTGCCTCTGTACACATTAATCTTGCACCATTTGGCTCTAAATTTCCTTTTATCTTAGAATGAATGTGTACTTAGTTTAGTCTTATGAAACTACTGAACATACTTTAAAAATGAATCACTTTCCACTCTGCTCATTAATTGTATTTCCATTGCATATGGGGGCTGGTCATGATTAGGGATTCTATTGTGCTAGACTCTATACAGACAGAACAAAAAGATGGTCCCTGCTCTGAAGAATTTATAATCTAAGTAAGCCAGTAATATTAAAAGGAGAAGAAAATATATTTCTGGAGCAATGAGTTGACTTTGCACTCACATAAGGATTTCAGATCATTCTCTGCTGGCCTGTTCCATCTGTTCACGTCCTTAGATATATTCCTACACTTACATTCTGACCCTTTACTGAAGATTAGGGAATGATGCATAGAAAGCTTACCAAGAGATCTACAGTCATGTCAGTTAAACAGTAAAACACAGCCCACTGTACTCAGGAAACTCACAGCCGTGTCAACCTTCATAGGGATCATACAGCAAGCTAAACACTAAATTTAAATGCACAAGTATCACTCCTCTAATTGACTTATTGAAAGACATATTCTAACATCTAGTAGCAGAAAACGGTGCTTTTCTCATTGGTGCTTTGAGACTAGGTGCATGATGGAGTATCAATGCATGCAGAGCCAGTAAGAAGTGCACCAGTGAGCTCAAGTGTTAAAACCAATAGTTCTCCAGTTTAGATCTTCTGTCCTCCTCAGGATAAGCCTCGGTGCCTAAATGACTGTATTCTGGAATAGAGATCCACGAAGAGTTGCACTAAGGATAACATAAATAGTAACCCCATATGCAAGAAATCACAATTTTGCCAAATGACTTAAAAATAGCTGCACAACTTACCTGTCCTGGAGTATAGACTAGCTCTCTGCTCCAGACAAGTTCCAGTGAAGATTCTGAAGGAGACTCAAATCTGTGCCATCGGATGACCTAAAATTAAAAAGTTTTAGGATCCCTGCTGTCTGGGCCACTGAGCACATAATTCCACAGCTCATTTAAAAATAAGTTCCACACCATTCTTTCATTGCAGGTCACCTTTACATAGTTAGAGGGTTCCTGTCCCAGTGTGATTTGAAAACCAGCATGAGATGCAACATGTGGTGCGTTAGCTAGAAAATTAGTCACTATGCCTGTGGATGAAAAGGCTCAAATAAGAATCAGGAGTTTGGAGAATGAATTTAGTACCGTGGGATGAACTTGAAAGGTTATGGAGGAATAATAGGTCCCAAAGAGAATGAAGAGCTGAGGCAGGGAAAGTGCATCTGTCATGGGCGAGAAGCACACTGTGTCCCCAGAGAACACCGAGTTTAATGGCAGCATTTAATGTTTTACTCCACATTCTAGCAATAACTATTCTATATTTCTCTGCCACTATTTCACCACTCCCACATCAAAGCCAAGCTGTATTGTCAAGGGGAATGCTAGAGAAGTTATTCAGAATGCCTAATAATGTCTGCCCTTATTTTTGATGTGTTCTCAACATATTGCTTGTTCCTCTTTCTTATGACTAGACGTGATGACAGGGACCCTCAACATTCTTACGGTATCACACCAGGTCCTGGGATGGAAAAGGGGAAGACCCACTGCTTTAGCAGTTTTCCTGGGACCAACATAATGTAGACTGAAGAGGGTGACTGGGTGTGTTTTTTAATCCAGCCAGTGATTTTCTCTAAAACTGGTTTGAGAGTAAATACCCAGCCAAACCTGTCACCATGCTACAGGCTGTTTGAAAAGAGGAGTGACATTTCAATGGACCCAAGAAGGTGAGCTAAGCCTCTGAACTTTTGCATGTCTGTCTACAATGAACCTTTTGAGGTTTGGCCATCTGTTCTGTTACACTAGAATGGCTTAGGGGTTTGAGCAGGGGATGGGAAGCTAGGACACCTGGGTTTTATTCCTAATTCTGCTGACCTACTGTCTGACCTTGGGAAAGTTATTTCACCTGAATCTCTAGAACAGAGCTTTAAATCACAGATTGCAACACCTATGGCAACCTTTTTTATTGCCATCCCTTTTCTCCCCCTCGCCCCAAGGTGCACAAAGAGCTTAGGGTATCCAAAAAGCCCTTTCAGTTATCTAAGGAGCCTGATCCTGCAGCTTGCTCTGGGCCCTTGAACCCCACTGACTTTACAGGGATACATCCTACACCAAAAATAGGTCTTTCCATTGATTTCAATGTGCTCTGCACCAGACCCTCAGCACTTAGCTATAAACTCCCCTCCAGACTTCACTCTTGCAGGAGTAACATGGGGTCCACCCAGCAACACTCTCACTCGTGTAGGATCAGGTTCTCCACACGTCCCTCTTCACCCAGGGCCTATAGGCACGATCGCTGCCCTGCGTCGGAACAAACCCTTGGCAACACTAGTACATCACGCAGCTACTGAAACAGTCAGTCTATGTGGGATCTTCAGATATCACATCATCTCTCTGCTCAGACCATAATGCCAACGTGTTTCCGTACATACACCATCAGATACACCTACGTACCAACTGCTTTTCCTTTCTTTGCAAGCAAAACAGTGGCCCTCGCCTTCTCTGCTTTGAGGCTAAGATCACGCATAATGGCAGCTGATGGGTCCTATCTCAGGAATCTGCCTTGTCCTTGATGATCTAATAGTCCTTGCCAGCTCTAACTGCTCTTATTCCATTGCACCTCCCACAGTGCATGAGCATCTTCAGATAGAAACATCAGGTGCTTTGAAACAGACAGTGCCCATACAGCATGAACCCCTCAGGAGTCCCCTGCTCACACCGGAATGGAGCCACGACAGCAAATGAAAAACAAGACATTCTCACAGCCTGATGGCCAAGATGTTTGAGGGAGCGGAGATAAAAATGCAGCGCAGAAAAATAGCCCAATGTACTCACAACCCTCTGCTCCAGAATCAACGTGGAAGTGGGCCCTGAGCTTGCTCCCATCTGCAGGGGATACTTGTGCAGTTACTCTTTCAGAATGGATTTGAACAAGATCAGGCTATTGGAGTGGATGGAACCATATCCTGGGCTTGAAAAATTCACCTTGCCAAAGAGGCCTATAAGAATGATGAAGGGGGGAGAGCCACCAGCAAGTTCAGGTACCCCGCCCCCAGCATCACCTACGCTACACACTCCTCCACCACCACCACTCCCAGCTGCTGGGTGCATAACCAGCATGCAATCCCTGGACACCACGTGAGGGCTCCTCTGGCTGGTTGCAGTCTGATAATTCTGAAGCCTCAACCTCCTCTGGGCTTCTCCAAGGAAAGAGGAACTCTATCCTTCCTTTTCCCCACCCAACCTTCCGCCCTGTTGTTCCCCCACGCCTCTAAAAGCCTCCCAACTCTTGCATGTTTGGGGTCTCTCCTACCCTCCCTCTTCCCTAGCCTGTTGGCTGCTAGGAAGGTCTTTCCGAAAGATTATGCCCTGCAGAAATTGATGGCTAAGCTCACCCACACACCAGGGAGACAGTTTGTCAATCACCAGAAATTAGCAATGTTGTTTTTTCTATTCCCTGGCTATACCAATTGGATGGGCCTAAACACAGTCCAATCTATCACAGGCAACACAATGTACATTGATAAGGCCTTCCCTGCTCAGCCCTCTTTGGAATTGAAAAGTGCTCTCCTTTGGGTAATCACCAAGCACTGCAAATTGCATGAGAGTGGTTTTGGAAACAGCCTTCTCTGATGGACTAGAATGGTTTTATAAATAGGTAAACTGAAGTACAGAGAAGGAGAAAGTGACTTTTCCCAGAGCATATGTTAAGTCAGTGGCAATGCCACGGACAGGACCCAGAAGTCCTGATTCCTAGTCCCGTCACTAGCTGCAGGCCCCATTCCATCCTCCAATAAATAAAAGCCGTTTCCCCACATTTACAGGTATTTGGAAAGTGTCCAGTTCCTGTAATCTCCCCACTCTAGCATTGACAGAATCCAAAGCGACACTGTCCACTGTAAATACACTTGGAGTAGGGAAATCCCACAAATGAGCTGTTCAGAGAACCATGTGTGGCTAATTTTGCTTGCCCGTTAGACACAAAGCAGGTCCATCAGGCACAGTGCAGTGATGAGTACTGTACATTGTGTACCCTGGTGCCATAGGACCACACAGGGGCAAATACAAAACAAGACTAAAATAGATTATTTGAATCAAGGTTTGCTGCTTGCCGATTTAAATCATGATTAAAATCAGTGATTTAAATCAATCTACCCTGAAAGGAGCCTAATCTCAATGGGTGTGTGCTCGGCACTTTCTGAAATGTAGGGTCCTCTAAGATCTCTCACATAAGAACAGCCATACTGGATCAGACCAAAGGTCCATCTAGCCTAGCATCCTGTCTTGCGACAGTGGCCAATGCCAGGTGCCCCAGAGGGAATGAACAGAACAGGTCATCATCAAGTGATCCAAATCATCAAGTGATCTCTCAAGCTGAGCACTCAGTATCATTTGTCAC